TCCTCAGCCTGTGTTTTGAAAATAAGGGCCAGTTCAGGTGTCCAGCACAATCAGGAGGCAATGGGCTCCCTAGGCTGTACCACATTAGGCCGCAGACAGGAGCAACTATATTTGTTAATGTCCCCCCGTGAATTTTTAAAAAATACACGTAGGTAGGGAAACCCAGCAAAATAGGGAGGTGGCTGGGCCAGGGATCCTTCTCCCTGACATACTGGTTTTCTACCTGAAGAGAGTTTCCTGGTACTGTCCAGGAAAAAAGCTTTAGCATTTGATTCCTCTAATATATAACCTGGGGGGGGGAGTGATTGGATGGATCCTTGGTAGCATCAGCAGTAGTTGGGAAAGTTTCTCATGTGCTTCGTGTGATCTATGAAGCAGCCCTTCCAAGTGAATGCATTTTGAGTCAATCCAGGAGCATGACCTTCCACTACGATAAGTCTAGTCCCTGGTAATATCAAATAATCATTAAGTATATCTGTGGTAATTACTTGTTTGTTCATTTGTTTGTTTGCTGTGAAAACAAATGATACAGCATTGTGTTATTTAGGTTGAAGGAACTACAGGCAGGATGAACACTCCCACAATCTCCCTCCATTGAGTCTAGAACATTGGAATGTCATTAGAAAACTAGTAGGCTTTCTAACGTGGTAAAGGACTCCTTTAGTTACAGACAGTTTCTGGTAACAGAACACCAAAACAGGCCTACATGGAAATGAAGTCTTGAAAGGAAAAAATGCTTTTATCTGTTGCCAGTTTGAGATCACTCAGAGCTGAACTACACGTTTAGAAGAAACATTTGATGTGGATTTCTGGAGGTTGAACCATTTCGGACTGCAGGTGGGAAGAACTGTGCTTTTTAAATATCCCCCGTCCCCCATCAAACTGCCTTTACAAAAGGAAAAGCAGTATCACCAGGAAGAGATCTGGCCATAACTCTCCCTCCTATTCTCCAGGTGCCAAGAGGGATTTTTTTTTAAATACAGAAATACTCAAAACAAGAGATCCTCCTACCTGCATTTGGAAGTGAGGCAACCCCAAGAAAATGTGGTATTTCAGAAGATGCAGTTTGGCTTTGGACATCTTCTTTTGGTCCTCTAATTGACAAGGCTACAAGAGTATAATTTGCCGTGGTACTCTTGAACCCTCAGATGCAAACAAAACATATTTCACATGACTCACTCCGACTCAAGTGTGAATGCTGGGATGCTGATCATACAGGACGCCTTAATTGTGAATCCGGAATAGTTTTGATATGCAAGAGACTGCCAGACTCTCAGTTTTGTAGCATGTATATCTTTGTATGAAGAGTTTGGGATAATGTCATAGAAATACTTATGCACTCCTGATGACCTAGTAGGAGATTTTTTTCTGCTTAATATCAATAAAAGCATATTCCAAGATGCTGTAATATTGCTCAAAAATACTGCATGGATATGTATTCATACATTTGGTCAAATATTGTGAATAATACTCAGTACTGATATGGCAATTGTCTTCAAAATACACTAGCATCAATGCGCCAAGTTTGGTCTGTGTCTATAGCCCATTTTGGAAGCTGTTTAGAGTGATCATTTATATGCAGCTATTAGAGTACTGATACTGGAGTACTGTGCTATTTATCGATCTCTCAAGGGGTGATCCAATTGGTCCCTTATGTGCCCCATCAGGCCTGGGCGGCCCTCCCACAAAGACTGCTCTCTGCTCACCAAAGGGCTGCCCAAATGGGGGTGGAAATTCCACCACAGAGGGGCAGTGCACAGGGAGAGTGCATGATGTGGCAGGTGACCAGACTGTGCCCTGAGTATTTACTCAGTTCTTCTGAGTGCCTAAGAATGAACGCTGGAATTAAAAACAAACAAACTATCAAAACCTGTGCTCATAGTCCCTAGGGATGGGGACCCAAGGGTTTCCCATTGCCACCTATGGAAAGGGAAAGATCCGCATTTGCACCGGGGGCGGGGGATAACTTTTTCCCTTTCCAGAGGCAACTTGTATATTTACAATCCCTGGGCACAAAAACATCATGTTCAAATAGCTGTGTGCAAGTTCTCAGCCCTGGATATTGCATAACATTAATACTGAAGTATTTTGTCCTTTCTACTACACTACACATCCTAGCATTTTAAGGAATGGCTCACCCGAGCTGACAGCTTAAATTCATGGCTACCTCCTCTCCTGTGAAAAGCAGAAAAAGAGTATCATGAACTATTTCTTCCCTCAGGGAAATCTACTGATATGAAGAGGGGGAAATCTCTGGGAGTGGGGGGGGGGCAGGCATCACAAGTTTTGGACCATGGTGCAGTTGGAAGGGGAGGGGAGTGCAGTTACAAGACACCTGGCTGAGGCCCAGAATCTCTTACAATTCTGGGTGGAACCCAGGTGTCCAGCAAATGAGTAAAATGGATGACGAGATGATGCTGAACAACAAACTTAGATTTGCTGACCCAATAAAGTTGTTTTTATCTATAGGTAGCTGGAACATGTGCTGTTATATCCACTGCATGTACAATTTTTAAATTATTATTATAATATTATTATTAATTTTTTTTTGCTTCTAATTTACAACCCAAGCGTGCCCCCAATGGAGGAGGCCAGTACTATACCGAGAACCACACAACAAATTATAATCATAATTTTCTTCTACATTACCCCCCAAAAAATCCACGAAGCAAGAGGGAAAAAAGAGAGAAGAAAAGAAAGACAAAAGAGTTAGTAAACAGGATGCTGGGTAAGACGCTGGGAGGCTTAAAATCCAAGTTGCCATGTTTGTTTCTGAGCAGCAGCCAATCAAAATGTGTGCTCAAAATGGCAGCCATGTGGAGAAAGAAGACAGGTAGGCCCAAGGGAGCCAGCAGTGGGTGGCAGACTAACTGGCATATGTGGAGGAGTTTAGGATTAGGAACGGGGCAGGGCTTTCTGCTGCGGAAACTGCTCATCCCACTGCTCACGGCCTCCTGAGGCCCTCCCTTCGCCTCCATCTTGTTTTTTTTCCAACCCCTCCTCAAAAGCCACCTTTCTCAGACAGCTTTTGGTTTACCTCTTTAACACTCATTCTTAACTGTAACCCAGTCTTGTCTAGGCTGTCAGCTACTTGGAGGCAGAGGCCTATCTGTTTTTTGCCTATGTTATTCTGTAAGGCTCCCATATACATGGGAAGTGCTAGCCAAATAAATACATGAAGGGGGAAATCATTCAGTCTGTTCATCAAGAACCTGTTCCTGCAAAGCATCAGTTCTTGGGGCAGGGGGAACCTGGATATTTGTCTAAAGAGCAAATTCAGACAGGTTGCTTTCCAAGAGGTTTCCCTTATTGTTTGCCTGTGCAGCTGCAATCCAAACATGGGAATCTACCAGGACCATTGCAAAGAATCCTGGGATTGGAAACGAGTCCCATGTCCTACTTCCTTCTTCACCTGTAGATTTAACCCTACTCAATAGCCACAGCTACCCGACAACATCTGGCAAGATTTCTATTAGAACACTGAAGAGGGAAACACCTTTCGTCAGGGAAAATCATGACACCAAAACAGATGACCAATTGAAACTAGTTATCTAGACCTGGTTTCTTTTTTGTTGGAAACTATGAACACTTCTCTTAAATGTACAAAATAGGATTAGTCATCAAATTTTAATCGTGTTTCCTTGTAAAAGAGAATTTCATGTTGATAAGCTTATGGTAAAAGTACTGTGACTGGATTCACATAGAAGATGCCCACATTCTTTTAATTCTGAATCTCTATCTGTGCTCTTTATTAGCTACTTTAGTTCTGCAAAACCCACAGGTCTCAAGTTAGAGCAGAATAGAGATGAGGGGCAGGGAATGAAAAAGATCCAGACCCATCTCCAGAACAGGGAGGATGCCAAGCAGCAGGGCCGAACTGCATGTTACACAGTCTTCATGTCCTGTCCAAGTCTACCACAAAGACGTCCCATCAGATGTTCACTGTGAGTTCCACGTTCAGAACTCAGTTCCCAGATGCAGCGGGACCTAGTTCAGACTGGCACCACAAGGAATGGGGAGAGGGAACTCACGCCTTCCTTTTCATGTCATTTTCCTGAACTGAAAGGGCCCCACGAAGCTGCATTTGCCCTGCTGGAGAAACTAACATGTACTTATGACTACACATAAGTTTCCCCAACAGGGCAAATTGTGACATCCCCAGACCATTTCAGGTTGGGAGGGGGGATTAAGTCCAGCTCTCCATGCCCTACGGTGCCAATCTGAATCAGGACCCCACACATCTGGGGACTGAGTTCCAAGCACAGAGCTCAGAATACATGTTTGATCAAAAGTACTTGTGGTGCACCTGGACAGGACTCAGTACCTTTGTGAAGTATAGCTTGGCCCTGAAGAGCTGCCGCCAGACATATGGACGGATAGTCTGACACCATATGTTCAAAATCATGTGGCATATTAATCACCCTTACCAGGCTCCCTGCCTGTCAACACAGCAGATTTCCAAAAACGCAGAAGACCAGAACCTCACATGTTCATCTGTTAAGTCAGGATGCGATCAACGTTTTCGATTTTTAAAAAATTCACATCTGAGACTTTGATCTTCTGAGTCTTGGAAATTCCCACTGCACTGCTGTTAGGAAACCAGATCCTACAAAGGGGGTCCTGTTTGATTGCATTCCACCACCACCCCGACGGGCTGTAACACGACATATAAAGCCTGAGAAAAAGACAAGAAGCTGAGAGGCAGAGATTCAGCTTCGCTACCTGCAATGAATATTAGTCTTTCTCTTCACCCTGCCCTTGTTTCTTTTCCTTGCTTTGTTTTTAAACTCCTTCACCAAATCACATCCCGGGTTCTTGAGTTTAACATTCTAACCACGAGAGTTTTCATTCCGTCCCTTTTTCTGACCCACTTTCAGTCCTCAGGGTTCTAGTCTCACTTCTGTGCTCCAAACTCTACGTCTTCTTACCCCAGGGTCCTCTCTACTCCCCTCATACCCAAGCCCCCTCTTCACTCACCCTCCGAGCCTTGCTCTGGTATTTTACAGCTTTCTTGGTGTCAGAGACGGCTCTTTCCACGTAGTCCACGGAGTGCTCGACATTGTATTCAATGCGATCAATCATCTCACCCTGCAAGGGGAGAAAGAAGGGAGTGAGAAAGGCAGAAATGGACACATTAAAGGTGGATTCACTGGACATGGCCGTGAAAAGGCAGAAATGGACAAATTAAGGTGGGTTTGTTGGACATGGCTGTGAAAAGCATTCCCCTCCCCTTCTTCCAAGGAGCTCAGCGTGGCATACATGGCTTTCCCTGACAGCAACCCAGTAAGGCAAGGAAGGGGTGGAGGATAATAACTGCCCCAAGGCCATCAATTTCACAACCAAGTGGAGGTTTGTAGCTGACCCTCAACAGTTCAAGGCTAATACCCGGTGTGCCATGCCAGCTTTGTTTTGCACATGGAAGCCTGCAGCTATGAAAGTTTCCACAAAACAAAGCCCAAGGGCTATATAATCAGTTAACTGATCCATCGATTTCAACTAAAAATGGCCCTAACGCTAAATTTTAAGCCAAGTGCTCATCACAAACTGCAGTTGGCAAGCACCCCCTTAGAACAGACGTTCCCAGTGCATGTAAGAAAAAGGGGAATGTTTCTTCTAAGAAGTTGACTGCTGCTACCCATGTGTACATAATCTAAAAACAACATATTTCTTTCTGTAGAACTATCGGAAGGGGGTCCAAATGCAGATTTGATTAGTTGATAAACTAATTAAGTCACTAAGGTTTCTTTAATCAGGTGACAGGCCTGGAAAAAACAGGAATAATTTGAGCAGAGGGACACCAAGGCTATAAGCTCCAGACCATATGGGGAAGGGAGTTGATACCTCAGCCTTGGAACATATGTCTCTGAGCATGTGCAGAATTTTTTCCTTTCCCCAATGAAAGCTTCAGACGTAAAATGTTTATAGATCTGGGCTTCCTGATGTGATAGACCATAGCCTCCAGGAAGTCTCCAGTTCTGGGATCACTCATTTTAGAAATGAAGAACTAGACATAGCCCTGGTTGCGCTTCCTCAACCACTTCCTCAGCCACAGTGCTGGGACTCCAATGGCGGACTGCAGTACCCAAAGGCAAGACCATCCACCCGACACCAGCTGGCTTTGCCATCCGTACCTGGCTCTCCACCAACATCGCCATGTCCACAAACATGTCATGCAGCTCCCGGATGCTGGTTTCCAGTTTGATAATCTCATTGTGCCGGGTTTCAATCTCATTCAGGGCCTGCTTCGTCATCTGTGAGTCCATTTTGATCTGCGCAAAAGACACAGATATAAACAAAGGGAGATAGAACTTTGCACCAAGCAAAAAAACCCCAACCCTTCAAACCGCCCAAACACTCAGATCCCCTCCTTTGCTCAAATTATTATTATTGTTATTGTTATTATATCAACCCATCCCGGCTTACACCGTCCTCTGAGCAATATACAGAATATAGTGTCATAAAATGCAAAACACAAAACATTAAAGTTTATATATAACATTAGTAAAAATTTCAGTGTAAATAAAAAAATCCAAGATGGTGATTTCCCTATATTATTATGCATCCTGATTCCAGACTACCAGTCCCTTTTTCTTCTGGGTGGGGGGGAAGGGAACCCAGAATATGGAGGGGGGAGAAGGAAGAAGGGGTGCCAGCCAATGGGTAACCGTTGCTGCCCCCAGCCAAAAGCCTACTGGAACATCTCTGCCTTACAGGCCCTGCGGAATTCCCTAAGATCCCGCAGGGCCCTGATGTAATTAATAAATTGCATAATGTGACGGATGGTCATCCAAAAATCAAAGACCAGACAGCGTATACTCGAGGCAGCTGTGGAATGTGGCAGCCAACTGCCTAAGACTAAAAGAGAAGGCAAATCCCTGACCCCCATGGTAGTGGGGGAAACCATGAAAATATGTAGACATATCTGAAGGGCAATGGGTAGGAGGGAGGGCTTTCTAAGGGTCAGGAGGTGGGGCCTCACAGACACACTCCCCATGGCCCTAGCTACTGCAGTTCCACCCACCCAGACTCGATCCAGACACATGATACTCTGCGGCTCATGGAGAGCTGTATTCAGAATTACTCTCAACCAGAAGAGCCACATTTACTTCTGTCCCTTGCATGAGGCCTACACCTCAGGGAGCTTCTCAGCTTACCTGTCCTTCTGGCAACAGCTCCTTCAAACTGGGAACCATCTGTCAACCACAAGCCCCACGGGGCAAGGGCCTTGCCCACTTTCTTAGAACATGGGGGGAACAGTGCTCAGAAAAGCCACAAGTGGCATGTCAAACAGGGACATGTGGCTCCCTAGCCACCTGACTATCACTGACCTAGACCCTCTAAGGACTTCCTAGGCTGGTTCCTTGCAGGGTACTCTGCTGTTGGTTACAGTGCTTTAGACCACAGGAGAGATGGATTATAAATGACTACCCCGACATGAACCCACCACCACCACCACCCGACACCATGAAGCGCAGCCATGCTGACACGTACATCATCGGTGAAGATTGCCAACTTGCCACTTTCCAGCATGTCTTCTAGTTCCTCATTGGTTGTTGTCCTGCCAGCTGCAAGAAGAGAGGGGTAAGAGAGAGCCCTGAGGAATCGCTGCATCTTGCAGTACAGTGCCCCCTAGTGTGGCAACAGGAGACTGCATCCAACTGGGCCTATTCACACATGGCCCTCTTAAGGACAAAGCCGTTAAGTTTGCTTCCAATCCTGTAGAAGGGAGGAGACTCCCTTCCTCCAGTGAACAATACAAGCACAGGGGGGGGAAGAAGCTCATTTGATGCTTGCCTTGTTCAACACTGAAAAGGAGTCATTACTACACACCAGTCCCTCTGCCAATGGCTACTCTCCCCTTTCAGGTACAGCTGCTACCAGAGTAAGTAAGACAATGTGCTGTAGTTGTTAAAATTAAAGTGGACAACCTCCTGGTGGGGCCCGGATATCTCTGAGAATTGCAACTGATCTCCGAAATGCCGGATTCAGTTACCCCAAAGAAAACGGCTGCTTTGGAAGGTTGACTCTATGCCATTATACCCCCTGAGGTCCCTTCCCTTCCCTCCCCAAATCCCGCCCTCCTCAGCCTCCACCCCCCCGAATCTCCACGAATTGGCAACCCTAGTCAGAATGCTGAACTGGAACTGAGAAGACTTGGGCTCAGATCTTCACTGAACCACAAAACTCACAGGACTGTTGTGGGGATAAAATGAAGGACCACCTACACTGGCATGGTTTCCTTGGGAGGATAAAAATACAGCCCGTAAGTAAGAAAGCATTATTGCTTTTAAAATGAACAAGGTGCCTCCACAAGGATCAGTCACTGTCAGTGTTCCCTCTAAGCTGAGTTAGTGTGAGCTAGCTCACAGTTTTTTAGCCTCCGGCTCACACATTTTTATCTTAGCTCAGGAAGGATGGCTCCAGAGCAAACTAACTTATGCAGTAGCCAAATCACTCTCTCACAATTTTAATGCCAGTAGCTCACAGAGTAGAATTTTTGCTCACGAGACTCCACAGCTTAGAGGGAACATTGGTCACTGTGTGTCGGTTTTTCCTCCCCTCTGTGGTGGTGCAGAGGTTCACATCCCCTTGGAAATTGCATCCCTTTGCCCTGCAAGTCCAGCCCCCTACGTGATTTCATTACTCTGCAGTAAAGCAAAACCACTCTGTGTGGTGCAGCTGCCTTCATTCTTAGCCTGGTTTAAATCTCTTTCCAACGTACACGGAATGAATCCAATAAAGACAACTCAAATGAAATGTGATGAGCAGAAGAGACTTTGAACTGCTCACAAGGGAAGGCGGGAATTTAATGGATACGATGCTGGGGGATGCATCTGAGTGAATTGCAAAAGGCAAAGGAACGCACTTATCTCCAGTTGTCTCTGGATTCGGTCCTTGCAACGATCTCGATATTTGGACTGGGTTGTGTTGTATTCCGTCATCACTTCCACAAACTTGCGGGAGAGGGTTGAGTGCTTGGCAAAGAGATGGGGAGACAGTAAGGTATGGCAGATAAAAGCACAGAGATAACCTAGTTGGAGAGCAATCAGTTACGGCCTCATCTGACAGCCTTGGGATTATTCGCTGGGCGAGGAGAACAGAGAGCTGTCTCGTGGGGAAAGAATCCCAAAGATTCATTACAGCAGCTACACAGTTTGTGGCCCAAATCCTTGTGGCCAGTTTGGTGAAGTGGTTAAGTGCACGGACTCTAATCTGGGAGAACCGGGTTTGATTCCCCACTCCTCCACTTGCACCTGGCTGGATGACCTTGGGCAAGCCATGGCTCTGTCAGAGGTGTTCTTGAAAAAGAGCAGTTTCTGTCAGAGTTCTCTCAGCCCCACCTACCTTACAGGGTGTCTGTTGTGGGGAGGGAAAGGGAAAGGAGTTTGTAAGCCGCTCTGAGACACCTTTGGGTAGTGAAGGGTGGGGTATAAATCCAATCTCTTCTTCCTCTTCTTCTTCTTTCTAGTGGATGCCATCCCTCCCACCCAGTCTCCTTTCTGTTGGTTTCATTTTGCAGTCAGAGAATTTGTTCTTGCTTTCAGAACCTATTTCCCACAACTCACAAAGGGGTATCTATAAACAGTCCATATCAATTCCAGACATCTGTCATATCAATTCCAGACTAATCATCATCATTATTCACAGATAATGAAGAAGAGCACCTGAAGGGAGAAAAAAAGAAACGCGGCAAGGAAAAGCCAGCTACCTTAAGAGCACATGAAGGGAGGGGGAAAAAAGAGAAACGCGGCAAGGAAAAGCCAGCTACCTGTGTTTTCCGGATCCGCAGGTCAGCTGAGGACCGGTTCTGCACTTCTTCCTGCTCAATACTCTGCTCAATCGCTGCAGGGATGAGGGAAAAAAAGCAGAGGACTCAGAGCTGTGGCATGCATGAAGCCGCTGGGACTAGAACTCAGAACCTCTGGATCTTCCTTTCGCTGCCTTTTCTGGTGAGCCACCAGAGCTTCACAGCAAAAATGTTCCCAGGGTGGTGATGACTCCCTAAAGTCCAGAGTGAATCTTCCTATGCAGGAAGCTCATTGGTTCCCCTGACCAGGTGCTGATGGAAAGTGCTTCCAAGTCTTAGCCAACTCATGGCAGCAGCCCTTCATGGGGTTTTCAAGACAAGAGAGGAACTGAGGTTCTCTGCTCTCACCTTCCTCTGCATGGCAACCCTGGACTTCCATGGTGGCCTCCCATCCCAATGCTGACCAGGGATGACTCTGCTTAGCTTCCAAGATCTGTTGAAATTGGGCTAGCCTGGGCCACTCAAGTCAGGGATGACCTAGTAGGGCTAGAAAGACTAGTAGGGCTAGAAAGACCTAGTAGGGCTAGAAAGATCAAGGCTGGGCCCTGGGGGCAGCAGTCCGCCTGGACCGTGCCTGCCAGCTAGAAGAATCCTCGCCTCAGGCCCCCTGCTGGCTCTTCAGGTTGCCTACACCCCAACCTCAAGGCAGCATCGCTCACATACAGCCCTCCGAGCAAGAGCTGATGTAGCTTTGGGGAGGTCACGTGTTCATGCCACAGCTCAGCCATGAATTCACCAGGGGGGTCTTGGGCAATTTCTTTTAACTTCAGGAGACAGTGACAACAGTGGTCTACCTTACACGGCTCTTGTAAGAGTCACTGTGACAAGGCACATGACGTACTTTGGACAGTGGAAATGCTAAATACTGTTACGGAGAGCAATAGGACCCAGCCCAACACCAGCTCTTACCTTTCAACTTGGAGCGCACCTTGTTGGCAGTCTTCTTTATGTCAGCTGTGAGGTCCTCCAGTTCCTGCTTGGTCTCTGCAACAGGAACAGAAGGAGGGGTGTCTGACAGTCATCCTAAGAGGCGCTTTGGGATGTTCGTCTGTGCATGCATCCACTGGCCCACAGGGTATGGTGGTGTCTGGTGAACATGAACATGCACACATTTGAGTGTGGTTCACTGTGAGCAAGCACAGGGGAATGTTCACAAACCTGTGGGAATGTTCACTTGTGCAGCCTCTACTTTCCTGCAGGATCTAGTGAGAGAGCACCGTATGCCCATCAGGTGTACATGTATGTGTGAGTTTGGTTAATGTGGGCTATGTGCAAGCACATGAGATAGTGTCACTGTATATGTGTTTGTGGGGTGGCTGGGTCCACTCACTCTCATCAGGGTTGGGGGCAGCCAAGATGGCACTGTGCTGCTTCTTCACCAACTCCACATCCTCTGAGAGCTTCTCAATGCAGCCACGGATCTCCTCCACCTGGGCAAAGACACACAGATGCACTCATTAGAGCTCCCTTACACCGAGGCTGCAAAGGGCGGCCTGTCATGCCCACCACTGCACAAGGTGAGATGAGGTCAACACGGTCAATACAGGACAGGGCCTTTGCGCTCTTAACAGACCCTAAAGCCACAAGATTTGGAGGCTGGAAGACAGTCACAGAGAAAGAAAAGTTATGCATAGCTCTCATGTTGGATTTTTGTTTGAATACATGCAGGACCAGCGCATAATGCAGAAGAAGGGAGCTATTCCAACCCAAGTCTCAATGGTGCTCTATCTTATACCTTTGTGTTGGTTGCCACACATATTTAGTTAGAACTCTGCAATACCACTGTCATCTCATGGACTCTGAGCCTCCTTGATCTCAAGGAGCCTTAGACTCCTTGGGACTAACTAGTCTAGCCTCCCCCCCCCCCCAAGAAAGAGATCCTATACGTCAAGGCATCCCCACCAGATTCTTTTCCAGCCTTCCCCTGAAAGCCACCAAGAAAATTACAACTGAGTACAAGAGAGAATTTGAGTAAAGTCAGCTTTCCCCTTCATAGTGTTCACGGCATCTGGAATTCTCTTTTCTAGGGAGCTTTTAAAAGCCGCCAGCTCCTTCGCCCCACAATCCGAGCAGCATTCTGGAGTCTGTGTGGTGCACTTTGGGCGAGCTTTGAGTCACAAAAGCTTATACCCCGAAAAACTTTGTTGGTCTTTAAGGGGTGCTACTGGGCTCAAATGTTCTTCTGGCACATCCCTGAGCAGAGGATGAACAACAGGCCAATCCCCCAGCATGAACAGAGTACAGGGTTCGGTCTGCTAAAGGACAGCATCTTATTGCAAAAATAACCCCATCTGTCCTATACGATCTGTGTGCACCCCCAGCAAGGCCCCAGAACCCACGCTGGTTCCAGTTCTCAGAGTATCCTGCGCGAAAGCCCAGGGCAGCAGGGCCTCGGCAGGAGGCTGGCTAAAGCAAACGCCAAGCAAGCTGGTGATGTCATCAAAGGGCAACACCCTGGGCAGGGGGGTGCCAATCTGTCAAGGCCTCTCAAAGCAGCCTCCGGAGTGCTAGAAGAGAGATTGGAGGGATGGTGGAAGAGCCGAGCCTCTCCTGGCTGTTGCTGAGAATGGAGATTGCAAACAGGGTTGGTGGTTGCAGTGCACCTGTCCTCACCTCTGAGGCAGACCTTGGTGCTGTGTACTAAGGACCTGCAGGTCCTTGGCAGTGCTCTCTCTCCCCACTGGCAATGGAATTGTCTTCTTGCCGTCTGGGAGGAAAGACTTGCCTGGAGCGCCAGCAGGCACGAGCCTCGATAGGAAAGAAGCACGAGTGTTTCCTGCGTGTCTAAAATAGACCGTTCCCCATGCAGAGGCTCGACTGGGCCCCCCCCCACAGCCACCTATCCTTAGCTTTATTTCCTTGATGTCTTTCCATCAGCAAATTGCTACTGCAGATTCCTCAGCAGGGAGAAACTTCCCGGAGCAGAACAGCTAATGCAGCTAGGACACATCTGGAACTCCTCATTCTGCACCAGAGCCGGGGGGGGGGGGAGGATCATGTCTAATGTTCCTCAACCATCTTCAAAAAGCACAAAAGTAGCTTTACTGATGCTCAGGGAGACAAATCTTGGGAAATCCTTGCTTGTTAAAAAGGGTTGACTGCCTGCAGTCTTCCGTCATGAGCACTAGTGGGCACTACAGCGCAGAAAAGCCTTGAAATGTGGGGGCTTCAGGCTAGAACAGTGGAGGACTCTCTCCAAGGTCCTGAAATCTACAGCCAGCTTAGACACACCACACAATTGCTTCGACAGTGTCCCTCAAACCAGACCCAAGGTCCCATTGATTCCCCTGGCCTGGGCATCCCTCTGTGCTGGCAAACTGCAAACTTAAGGGCTTGTTCACATGATAAGTGTCATTTTGTGGTCCATATGGTGTGTGTGTGTGTGTGTGTAACTATGCATTAAATTTGTTTTTGACCACTTAAGGCTGTGAGCCAGACACATTTCTTTAAACTCAGGTCTGTGTTGGCAACAGATAAAGCAGGAGGTGGGCCCTAGGTTTTGGAGAAAAGGGGGGCCTGTGGGATTTTAAAGCTCATCTCTCCCCAGTTTATCTCTCCATAATGTCTCCCCAGACACACACGCACCTGCACCAGTGTTTTTCTCTCTGCCAGGCCCACTTTCAGTATTAGAGCCCAGAAAAGAGGAAGGTGACACTGGAAGTCAGGCAGAAAAGAGGCAAGTCAGAGGTGGAATGAAAATAACACCTCCCCTTCCCACAGGCCACTTTTGCTTTAAAAAAATGGGAAACCCCATTCTCTGCTTTATACCCAAATGGAGCAAATCCCAGTGTAAACAAAAGGGTTTCCCACCATCACGTATACTCGGGAGGCCAAATGTTCACAAATAAACACAACTAAGGCTGGCCATACTGTAGGCAGCCAATTCTCCTCCAAGGGAAATCCAACATTGGTAAGAAAAGTTTACAACAACATTCAAATATTGGTATCAAAGGAGTATGAAACCATGTTTTCTAACTTTGTATGAAATTGTATACTTTGTATGATTATTTGAGGATGGCTGGGAAAGGGTGGCAGACATGGAATTTTTGGGAAAGTAGCAATTGGCTAGGTGAAAGGAAGTGGGGAAGGGAGAGAATTTGGATGGCAGGTGGACGTCCGGCAAGTGGAATAAGTAGCACAGTTATGCCGGAATGCCAGAACTTTTTCAAAACAGAACTCTTTTGTCTTTTCAAGTGCATAACTGCAAAAAAAGACAAGAAACTTTTTGGGGGCGGGAGGGGAGCTGAGAATCTCAGAAATTGACATCAGATGTTACATTCTGTGACAAAGACCAGATTTCCAGTTACATTATACTTCTGGGGAACTGCAGAAGGAGTATCACAATGAATATTTCAGAGGTGTTTGAGTCTGGGATTTGCCGCAGACATACTGTGAGACAGTTTCAGAGAAATAACAAGGTTTCTCTGGAGTGTACTGCAGTTACCTCATCCACAAATGTTATTTATGAACAAGACCACACACAGGCACGGACCCCATCGTTGTTGGTGGTCTCCACCAATGTTCCCTCTAAGCTGTGGAGTCTTGTGAGCAAAAATTCTCCTCTGTGAGCTACTGGCATTAAAGTTGTGAGCGAGGGATTTGGCTACTGCATAAATTAGTTTGCTCTGCAGCCACCATTCCTGAGCTAGGACAAAAATATGTGAGCCGGAGGATTAAAAACCTGTGAGCTAGCTCACACTAACTCAGCTTAGAGGGAACACTGATCTCCACCCCAATGGCCTGCCCCACAATTTCTCGTGCTGGCATATTCAAGAGGCTGCGTGGCATTGGTGACAAGATGCTTTTGTATATTAAATACATGCTATTTGAATATTAATGAGCTTAGCTCTTGGGAAGATCCCAAGCAGGAGTTAATTCAGGCCAGAGGTGTCCATCACCATCTCCCATAAAATAGCACCTCCCAGGGAGAAGGAATCCAAAGGAATGTCTCTCCCTGCATCATAACATGCACCAATTACAGTCCTCACAAGAAGCTTGTGTCTGGGTAACAAAATCTTTGCCAACAGAGCAATTTCATACCCAGTTTTGTCTTTCGTCGCTCCTGTTCTCTGAAACGGATTGTTAGAAGTATTTAGGACCCCTTCCTTGCTTGAAAAGCTGGCAAAAACTGTTCCTATTCAGAGAACTGTTTCCTAGTCAGTTCCTCCGTTGCAACTAGTTCGATCTGCCAGCTGGGTGACCATTGGTCAGCTCCTCATGTCCGGCAGTGATATATTTGGTAAATACTTTAAATGAAGCCTATCTGTTTCAAGGCAGTATATCTGTTTATTTTAGTCATTAAAACGCTTCTGCCCTGCCATTCCAAACAGAGTGCAACATGGCTTACAACATTAAGTCAGTGTAAAAAAATAAGCCCAACAGAGAGCCAGTTTGGTGTAGTGGTTAAGTGCGCGGACTCTAATCTGGGAGAACCGGGTTTGATTCCCCACTCCTCCACTTGCACCTGCTGATGTGACCTTGGGTCAGTCACAAGCTCTGGCACAGCTGTCCTTGAAAAAGAGCAGTTTGTGTCAAAGTTCTCTCAGCCCCACCCACCTCACAGGGTGTCTGTTGTGGGGAGAGGAAGGGAAAGGAGTTTGTAAGCCGCTCTGAGACTCCAAGTGAAGGGCGGGGTATAAATCCAATCTCTTCTTCTTCTTCTTATAAGACAGAGCATATCCAAACGGATTCACTTCCTCAGAATAGGGAGGCTTCATTTGTCTATTCGAGAAGGAATTCTCTCTCTAATTTTTATTTCACACACAGACAGTTTCACTGACGATTTTAATTTTCCCTTTGCAGGGGCAACCAGAACCTCTGGGTGTGATACAGATTATACGTTCAGGTTTAGAGGGTGGCCTTTTAAAAATGTTTGGGTGAGCCCAAGTGTGTAAACGTTTGCTCAGTAATGGGGGCAGTTTGAATTTCAGTCCCCGTATGGTATTTTTGAGAAATCTCAAACATCAAATTTGTATATCTTCTCAGGCACCAATTATTCCTAGGAAATGCACGTGGGCGACACACTGTACAAAACAAACAGCGCAAAAGTATGCAAATATACCTGATTTGCATACTTCAGCTCAATCAGCCTACTTGGGAGTCTTCTGGCTGCCAGGCTGGGGATGCTTTTCAGGAGTAAATTCAATCCTCTCCCTCTTACCTGTTCGAAGAATTCATCCATGAAATGGTCTCGGTCCACATGCACCACCTCTTCCTCATCGTCACTGTCTTTGGCCTGCCCAAGAGACAAAGCTGTTAGTGTACGTGTGACAACATTGCACTGTGCAGAATTAAAACTAGCCTCTGCAACCTCTTTCAAAACCTATGGCACTAAAAGGTGGAACAACCCAATACATTGTCAGGATCAGGGCTGTGGTTGGGGGACATCTGATACAGGAACTCGTCGACAGCTACATGGGACATTTCCTGGGAATCCCATCACAGCTGCCTTTGAGTTCCATGTGGGAAGAATGTGAGCTATGAATGCAATGTCTATATAGATACTTTTTTTTGTAAAACATTTTATTAGGATATATTCATTCAAATCCAACATTATATATACAGCTATATTATTTTATATCCTACCCTCCTCCCTTTCCCTCCCCTATATGGCTTCCCACAGTGCTCTGACCTCCAGCTCACTTCTTAATCCTCTTTTGTTCACATATTTTTATACAAATCTACCAGGTAACTATTCTCTTCAAAATTACATTTCTTCCCTTAATCTGTCCATATTGTTAAACTTTTCTATATAGATATTTTTAAAAGCACTCATGTTTCCAAACCCAGATGCTGATTCTCTGTTAAAAAGGTCATCAAGAAGGGTCATTTTTGTAACCAGCAGTACTGGCCTGTGTGAAATCCAAAACAAACAAACAAAAATCCAAGGTAAAACTTTTGTATTGGGGCCAATCAAAATGACACAAAACGTTATGAAAGTTTTGGGAGCTCACCAGACCTCTCCACCAGGCCAGCAGTTATAAAGTTTTAAAAATAAAATTGTTAGTGGAGGATAGAAGCAAATGTTTCAGGTCATAATCTTAAAACCTGATAAGAACATAAGAACATAAGAGATGCCAATGTTGGATCAGGCCAAAGGCCCATCCAGTCCAACACTCTGTATCACACAGTGGCCAGAAATACCAGGTGCCATCAGGAGGTCCACCAGTGGGGCCAGGACATTAGAAGCCCTCCCACTGTTGACCCCCCCAAGCACCAAGAAGACAGAGCATCACTTGCCCCAGAGTCCCCATCTATACTTTGTGGCTAATAGCCACGGACCTCTGCTCCATATGCTTATCTAATTCCCTTTTGAAGCCGTCCATGCTTGTAGCCGCTTCCTGTGGCAGTGAATTCCAAGTGTTAATCACTCTTTGGGTGAAGAAGTACTTCCTTTTATCCGTTCTAACCCGACTGCTCAGCAATTTCATGGAGTGCCCACGAGTTCTTGTATTGTGAGAAAGGGAGAAAAGTACCTCTTTCTCTACCTGCTCTTTCCCATGCATAATCTTATAAACCTCAATCAAGTCACCCCTCAGTCATCGTTTCTCCAAGCTAAAGAGCCCTAAGCGCCTTAACCTTTCCTCATAGGGAAAGTGTTCCAACCCTTTTATCATTCGAGTTGCCCTTTTCTGCACTTTTTCCAAAGCTATAATATCCTTTTTAAGGTGTGATCATGAACAAACTTGGCCCCAGCTGCTGTGGAGAGATATGTCATTTTGAATGGCTGTTGGGGGTGTTACAGCATAGCGTTTGTATCCTGGGAAGAAGGCGGAAGGCCAGGAAACGGAAACGGAAGACCAGCAAAACCAGCATGGTGCAGAAGTGTGAGTGACAGACGAGGACCAGGGAGACCGGAGTTCAAATCCCAGCTCAGACGTATGACGTTCATTGGTGACCTTGGGTAAGTAAATCAGCCTGACCCCCCCCCCCTCAGGGTTATAATGAGTATGAAATGGGGGAGGGGTGACAGCGTGAATTGCTTTGAGGTCTGTATCTGATGCAGAGCCTGACCAAGAGAGAGATCTTGGAGTCGTAGTAGATAACTCACTGAAAATGTCGAGACAGTGTGTGACTGCAATAAAGAAGGCCAATGCTATGCTGGGGATTATTAGGAAGGGTATTGTAAACAGATCAGCCAATATCATAATGCCCCTATATAAATCAATGGTGAGACCTCATTTGGAATACTGTGTGCAGTTCTGGGCACCACACCTTAAAAAGGATATTATAGCTTTGGAAAAAGTGCAGAAAAGGGCAACTCAAATGATAAAAGGGTTGGAACACTTTCCCTATGAGGAAAGGTTAAAGCACTTAGGGCTCTTTAGCTTGGAGAAAAGACGACTGAGGGGTGACATGATCGAGGTTTATAAGATTATGCATGGGAAAGAGCAGGTAGAGAAAGAGGTACTTTTCTCCCTTTCTCACAATACAAGAACCCGTGGGCACTCCATGAAATTGCTGAGCGGTCGGGTTAGAACGGATAAAAGGAAGTACTTCTTCACCCAAAGAGTGATTAACACATGGAATTCACTGCCACAGGAAGTGGTGGCGGCTACAAGCATGGACGGCTTCAAAAGGGAATTAGATAAGCATATGGAGCAGAGGTCCATCAGTGGCTATTAGCCACAAGGTATAGATAGGGACTCTCAGTCTAGGGCAAGTAATGCTCTGTATTCTTGGTGTTGGGGGGGGGGCACAGTGGAAGAGCTTCTAGTGTCCTGGCCCCACTGTTGTACCTCCTGATGGCACCTGGTATTTTTGGCCATTGTGTGACAGAGTGTTGGACTGGATGGGCCACTGGCCTGATCTAACATTGGCTTCTCTTATGTTCTTATGTCCTTGGAGAAGAGTAGAATTAAAAACTAGATGTCTAGAGAGAAAAGAAGATGGCAGGAAAAGGGGTGCTCAACTCTTCCCCTACAATCCCCCCCCAACTGTTTCCCCCACAGCCCCGTGTTTATGAAAAATGCATATTCCTCCCAAGGTTTCCCATTCTTTCCATCCATTGTTCTCTCTACCACTTGCCAAGCCTTTCACTCTTATTTCTGCAGGAAATCTAGCAGCCCCTAATTCAATCCAGTTACAAATAAAGATATTAGGACCTCAGTCACTTGCTTAAAACCTGTTAAGGTAATTAATATGAAGCTGAATAATCTTTGACTTGGATGGCCCAGACTAGCCCAATTCTCATCAGATCTCAGAAGCTAAGCAGGGACGGTCCTGGTTCGTACCTGAGCGAGAGACCACCAAGGAAGCCCAGGGTCGCTACACAGAGTCAGGCAATGGCAAACCACCTCTCTTTGTCTCTAGCCTTGAAAACCCTACAGGGTTGCTGTAAGTCAGCTGCAATTTGATGGCATTTTCCACCACCACCACCACCACCGTGTACAAAAATCCCAATTTCTAAAAAGGGGCAGTTTTATCCCACTCCTCTGAAACGCACAAAAGTGGCCCTGACGTGGATAGCTCAGGCAAGCCCGATCTTGTCAGATCTCAGAAGCTAAGCAGGACTGACCCTGGCAAGTAACTGGAAGGGAGACCTCCAAGGAATATCAGGACTTGGGATACAGAGGCAGGCTATCAAGCCACCTCTCTGAAAAACATCCAAGCCCCCAGTACAGATCGCCAAAGGTTGTCATGACTTCCAGGCATGGAAGCACACACACACAAATAGGTAAAGGTAAAGGTTTCCCTTGCTCGAAAGCTAGTCAAATCCGACTCTAGGGGGCGGTGCTCATCTCCATTTCCAAGCCGAAGAGCCAGCGCTGTCCAAAGACGTTTCCGTGGTCATGCGCCCCGCATGACTAAACATCGAGGCACACGGAATGCTGTTACCTTCCCACTGAAGCGGTACCTATTTATCTACTTGCAATTTCTTGCTTTCGAACTGCTAGGTTGGCACACACAAATACCCCGCCCCAAAAATGAAATGCACAATATGAAATCTGGCTCATAACTCCAGCGGAAAACAAAACAAACCATACTGCTGCTGGAATGTGTGGGTGGAACTTCCACTTTCAGACACTTAAATTAATCCTTGGATTGGTGCTTCACTGTGGCTACCAGGAACATATCATGCATGCAACAAGAAGAGAAAGTTGTGACAGCCAGGAACACACCACAGAGGCAACAGGATAGAGAGTTCTGGCAACTTCCCCTGGATAGTCAACTAAATAGGAGATAAAGGTTTTTCCGGTGGCAGCCAGAAATGTGTCTATGCATACAGGAGTACAAACTGTATGTATCCATTCTGAGATAAACAAACATACATTGATCATGAATTAACAGGATTGTTGTGGTTCTTCTTGTATTTTGAACTGCATTTCACGCTGTTTTTACTGCCCAGGCTAAGCCATGAAACAAGTGCAGCAATTCTAAAGACAACACCACACGTGACCACATGTGGAGACCTCTTTCACACCCTGATTAATCACAACCAGCCCCTAAACTTCTAGGATGAGAAACAAAGGGCTCCGGGAGAGAGATAGAACAATAACTCTAGGCAGGGTAGCTCTTTGGAAATTGACATTTTAAAAACTAAGCACCATCTGAAATCCCAGGAGGAGGAATGAGCAGATTTGTTGTCCAGAGTTAGCAACAGAATCCAGGAGTTGTGCCTTCCGGTTGTAACCTCCCAGGACTGTATTTAACTCCTAGAAAGAAAACCCAAGAGGACCCATTTTCCAGAGATGCTTTCAGGCTCCTTTCAGAGTGGAAAGTTAAAAGACCTTGTTTCTCACGGTTCTTATGGATCTAATCCACAATGCATTATTCCCCTCCCAGAGCAGAGAGGGGTACAGAATCCACCCTTATGTTTGTAGGGGACATACCACCAATATGTTCCCCCAGGCAACTTCCCGTGCTATTCAGGCTTAGTCTATACAAACACCTGATAAGAGAGCATATTCATTCCAGGACTGTACTGCTACAGATTCCGGATGCAAAGTGTCACAGCTGAATGCTTCTGTGGGGGGGGGGGAATCCTTGCATGTAGAAAACTAGTTAGAACTCTTCTCCCCAACAACTCACTTTCTATCGGCGGGACAATTTTTTTCATAGGGAGGTGTAGCCAAGAACGTAAGCCCCAATTGCGGTCTGAATACATAAAAGAGTCCAGGATCAGGTTTTCCACTTCATCAGCTGTTCATACAAACGGGGCCCTGGGGTTGAGAGCTGAAC